TCAAAACTAGAAGTCAAAACACAGCACTGCACCAGTTAACACAAAGGAAAAAACATGACTGCTACTGCTGAACCCAGGACAATGGGATTCAAAAAGAAACACAATATGTGCCATGCTGTCACAGGTTAAAGTATTAAAGACCACAGGGTATAGGTAGCTCTATAGGAACAAGACTTCTGACATTTGAAAAAGCCAGTTTAACAGACCCAAAGTGTATATGGTGGAAACCCATAGAAAGAAACATCAATGTAGAAACAAAGTGTGTGTTTTAACAAAGAATATAACTGATAAATATGGGCTTTGCATAAATTTTGTGTGGCAGCTAAAAAGTCTTGATACCCTCTGAGCAGCGAAGCAGCGATGATAAAGCCTGTTTCTAGTAGCTAATTCATGCTGACTGAAGTGGTTTACAAATGAAGTATGATCATCTTAAAAAGGAATTAGTAGTTTTTAACTACAATAGTCGGAGCATGGCCTAATGACCTACAAGGTTTCCATCCTCATTTTCTTCTTTTAGATAATAATGCATTTATTTTGAAAAAATATTGGATCTGAGGTCAAATGGGACAACTTGAATGTTAATGTAACAAATACAAAATTAATACTGCACCTTACAAAACTGAAATACACTTTCTGCATAGTAAAGTAGCTTTCAATGCTAAATTAAGGACAAAATAGTTGAAGGCCAATTTCAACAATTTGGTTAATAAGGGGTAATGTGACAAACCCATTCTCAGTGCCTTGTTCACCACTTTGGAATATCCACACAGAATAGTCAACATATTTTGCCTCAGAATAAAAACTAATCAGAAGAAATAGCCGCAGCCTACATACAACTTACCTTTCAAGACTCATTGGGCCAGGCAGGTCTACTCCAGACACTATAAAGGATAGTACATGAGTATATTTGTACAATTGATGTATATAAATTCCCAGTCCTATAGATACATACAGGACTACACATGCCTGAAAAATGACTTATACCTAAAGTTATACTGCAGTTGTATTTATGATGTTTCAACTGTAAGTGCTCTACCATTGCCATGAACTGTATAAAGAAGTTAGCCCAGATGGAGAAAGCTGAAGCAACATTTCAAATATACTCCTATCCTTTCATTCCATTATGAGACTGCCATTTCTATTTAATTTGTCCCATTAGCACTTCCTTCATAGGTAAATGAGAAGTTGACTGAGAGTTCAGAGACTTGTCCTGCCCAGTATTAGCAGGGCTGACGTATCCCTTCCTCTTAATAGTGTCTATAAGCACAAGTTGCATTGTCATGCAGCCATTTTCCTTACTGGAGACATTATTAATTTTGTTAGGTTTCTTGTGGCTCCCATGGTTTAAGGCTGGTTACGCCCATATTCCAAGATTAGCAAATTACTTCTCAAACTACTTCATTTGCACTGTTCTTTTTTGAGTTGTTTTTGTGGTTTTTTTTTTCTTGATTTTTTATTTTCTTTAAATATCTTCCATTTAAAGCCAGAAAACATGGTGTGGAGAAAAGGGAAGTGAAAGCTGTTAACACCTATGATGCTTGAAGGGCCTGTGTTTGCAGTGTTTTAACATTTCTCTCTGTGTCCTATGTCAGTTTTCTTATTAATTTGATCCTAACTAAAGGAAAGTAGAAGGTGGCAGATCTGATTGCAAGAAGCCACAGATGTCAACTCAGGAACTCTGAAACACCACTGAGTAGTTAGAATCATAGAATCAGCCAGGTTGGAAAAGATCTTTAAGATCGCCAGGTCCAACTGTTACCCAAAGACTGCCAAGACCACCACTAAACCATGTCACCGAGAGCCTCATCTACACAGTTTTTGAACAGTTCCAAGGACCGTGATTCCACTGCTTCCCTGGGCAGACTATTTCAATGCCTGAGCACCCTTTCAGTGAAGAAATCTTACCTAATTTTTCCTGGGCCTGCTGGTAATGCTATTTCTGATACAGGCCAGGATGCTGTTGGCCTCTTTGGCTGCCTGGGCACAAGCTGACTCATGCTCAGTTGCCATCAGTCAGCACCCGCAGGTCCTTTACTGCCAAACACCTTTCCAGCCACTCTTCCCCAAGCCTGTAGTGTTACACTGGGGTTGCTGTGGCCCAAATGCAAGATTTGGAACTTTACCTTGTTGAACCTTATACCACTGGCCACAGCCCATCAATGCAGCCTGTCCAGATCCCTCTGTAGAGCCTTCCTACTCTCCAGCAGATCAATACTCCCACCCAGCTTGGCGCCATTTTCAAACTTACTGAGGGTGCACTTGATCCCCTCATCCAGATCATCAAGGAAGACTCTAAACAACACCAGGCCTAACACAGAGCCCTGCGTTGCAAGAAGTTTCCCCAAACCAGAATCTTAAGTATTTTAACCATTCACCTTAATTAAACTACATGTACACGATTTGGCATGCATTAATCTACATTAAATATATAAAATTTGCATTCATGTCTGCGATGTAAAGTTAAGACCTGCCTAACATAGAGCTAAAATAACGTAAAAACCTGGGTTTGGCCTGATACTGTTAAAAATATTCCAGAGCCATATCTCATTCTTTGTCACTATGCAACCTCAGGTAACAGCTATGCTGAATAAGCTTAGCTTGTTTTAGAGGGATATTTCAAAAAAATAATTCTTGTGTGTGTGAATAACAATTTTAAGACAATATTTTTGCTGTTTTCCAAGTGGCCGCTGTTCAGATTCTCTTCCCATATAATAAGTGATCTGAAAATGTAACCTGCACTATCACAGGCAAAGTAAGATTAAAAATGCATTGCTTCACCATTTTATGCATGCAAACTTCTAAATATGGTTATCAGATGCATCACTAGCCATTCTGAACACATTTAGTATTGAGAACCCTAAGCAATCCCACAAAATTCAAATGAGCAAAGCACTTCTTCCTAAAACCACCTCAAAATTTGACCCCGTTAGCACCCTTCAGCAGCTCTCTCAACTACAAAACTAAGTTTTTGCAGTGCAACACCATAGCCCTTGGAAATGATCCTACAGTGCATGACTACTGTGTCAAATACTTTTTACACTCCTCAGGTTGTGGAAATAGCAAATATTTCTGTGAGTAATGCTAATTATCTGCATGGTATTCGTTTTTTCCTCTCCAAAGGAAGATAAATACATTACTGATTTAACTCCTAAGCAAAATGTTGATGCTGTCACTGTCCAGCTGCAGCAGAAAAGTTTCTAATATTTCTATTTCAGGCTAGTCATGCTTAGAACATGGGTATATGCACATACACACACAGACATATATCACACTATGCCAACACACAGAAATGCACCTGAACAGAAGATTTTCCTCTTTTTAATACAGCTGAGGATCAAATATAACTTAGATTTCAAAACTGACTGAGAAAGTACCTAACTCATGTTAATCTTAAACCAATTGGAAGAGAGCCCCTTGTTGGGCCATAAGTGTGTCCAGTGGATCTACATCAGCATCAAGCCTAGGTCCCCTCCTCTTATATGTCCTAAGTAATATAAATTAATAAAATGAATAATAAAATTGCCTTTGTAGTCAGAACACGTAGAAAGTACATTTCAGCATCAACCTTAGCTTACCGAGCAAGATCAGACAGCTGGAAAGTTTTATGGAGCCAATACAGTCAGAAGCCACAGTAAGTAAGCATTTCCAGAGTAAAGAGAAACAAGCATGTGCAACCAACACAATGCTGAAAGAAATAATAGCAATGCTGTCTGCAGTATATAAACACTGTAAGGCTTTTGGTCTTGTTAGATGCACCTTGATCTGGGAGACTTTTCTGGGCTTTGTATTGTTTCTGTATGAATTTCCTCTCTGCTCTTGAGAGAATAAAGCTAAATCCCTTGTTAAAACAAAATCAGACAGGTACCACCCTGTCCAGTTAACTGACTGTTCTTTCCCCCACTTTTAGAATACAGAGTACCTTTTTCCTTGACATATACCTCACTTCTGCATTGACACATGCACATACAACTTGGCAGAGGTAAAATCTGCCTATTCATTATAGGCTCTGTACTTTACCTTTAAAGGTCAAGCAGAAGGAAAAGCTAAACCAAATATAAAGCAAACTATAATAGAAGCTATACAACACAGAGAGTTACAAAACAACAGGTGTCTTTGGCAACAGACTTTCACATGGAAAAGCACAAGAAAATAAACAGAAAAAAAAACCTTAGAAAACCAAGCATTATTATTCAAAAACCACAAACAAATCAAATTTTAAAGAGCACCCAAAACCAGAAAACTGAATACATTACAGTTTCCAAGTATAAGAACAAAAACAAGAGCTTGAATATGACCCTTTGTTGCATGTCACTTCATTTAAAATTTTAAGATAAACAACATTAATTAGTAAATGGATTCACTTCCAAGACATTCATCTTGGGTAATATTTTTGACATAGTTTTATTAGTCAACAGAATTTAAAAAGGGCAACAGCAGAGTAGAAGAACATACATGCAGATGGCATTCTGGCATTCACTGAGCAGTGTAATAGAGAGTTACTTTATCTCCAGATTACTATCTGGAAGTCTATTTCTACTCTGCAAATACAGAGCAACTTTACTTGTAAAAGTGAGAAAAAAACCAAAAACCTGACAACACATATTTCCAATGAGATCAGAATCAATGCAGTGCCAGACATTATAAATTTATTTTCTTTTGAAGGAACTATTTTGCATATGAGGTTTCTTTTCAGATTAAGTAATTTTATTTCTTCTTCAGTCAAAAGTAGAGAAATGTGAATATTATGGGTTTAAGTAGGTATTGCATTATTTCAAATCAAAAGTAGCCAAGTCCACTAATGGCCTGCCCTGCTGCTGCAGCAGCAGATGCTCTGTAACAGAGGATGGAGAATGCATTTTTATCATATCAACAAAAGAAATACTGTTCTCTACACACAACTGGTCCACAGTATGTTTTCTGACAATAAGCAAAGGGTCATCTCACATGACAAGAATAGCCGCCAGCATGGATTAGAAATGTAAGAAAAACATTTGACGTACTTGGATCTGACAAGATTGAGTCCGTTTTCGGCAAAAATTGGTCACAGCGGACTCCTTGGTAGCCCTCTTTGCACCTGAGAAAAAGGGGATAAATGACAAACATATGCATGCGATAGTAAAAGGTTAATTTCAAGGTAGCAGAATCAACTGAAATTCTCCCTGCCAATGCTGCAGGGGACTTGCATATCTACAGTTATTTCAACAACAGTGGAAGCAAGATTATTACTGAAACACAACGGAAACGTAAAATTATTTGCATTTAAAAAAGTTACCCTCATACCTTTGTGATTATTTTAGAAACTTAGAAACATCATTTAAGCATAACTTTTCTTTTACATATCAAGTCTGTGAAACAAAGAAAAATTCTCTACAAAATAGACATATTTGCAATAAAAGAAACTCATTAGGTAACAGAAAGTTTCTGCACTGTACAAACTATCAGATTAACTTGTTTATCTTTTGGTGTTTTAATACACAGGTAACACTTACCTGGCCCTTAATTAATAAGACTAGTTTTCTACTGTGAACAAAACATAACATGTTGAGGCATGACAGACAACGTCAGGCATTGTTTGTGAGTGGACAGTCTTAGGTATCTGTGGGATTGTGTTTTAAAGCACGTAAACCAGAACACCCTCCTGCCTTAAACAAGAACTGGCTTTGACTATTATTCATCTTAAAACTTTACTTTGAAGAAATTTCATTTACTGTATTTGGACTGATCTCAGAAGTTACTCTCACTCAACGAAGTGTACCAGAATTGGACCTTTAATTATTTATTTGCCAAGCAGTTTTTAAGAGAACAGTGATGGACACTTTGATTATAAATGATAGTAACAGAAACTCATCGCACAAAGCTCTTGCATGTCATATAAAAAATATACTCAAATCAGCATTACCACCTTTCATTAGGATTGACAACTACAGCTTGAACGATGTGATAATGTCAGAAGCAGAAATTATCTGCTCATTCACAATGTTTCTAGTCAGGCTTCCTCTAAAAGTTACCTTTTAAAATGCTTTTGGCTTAATAAATTAATGCTTGAGTGAGAAGCACATCTGACCAGCATTGGTTCAGGGATTAGTAAGCACATTTGTGAGAAAATATGTAAATTATAAGAACTCCCATCAGACCAAAACATGTAGTAAAACTTTACAGTAAAGACTTAAAATCCCCAAACCCTCCTTTTTGGTCTTTCTCCCTGATGGCTACTTAGTGCTACTTTGGAGATCAGCTTCTTACTGATACTTGCAAACTATAAAATGACTGACTAGGAAAAATTTAATTCTGATCCTACAGCAGTAGTCATAAGTTATCACTTAAGAAAAAAAAAGTGGTTTTGTTTTGCTTTTTAAATGCAGACTATTCAGATATTTAGTTAAAATTGTCCACTAGTCAGAAAAAAAAAAAAAGAAGCCTGCATATGCTCAGACATTGCTGCATGCACCTTTTGCTTCTGATTATCAAATATCATAAGTTGCCTCACATCAAACAGCAACTTTTCTTCAGAGTCTTGAGAGTTGGCAGATTTAAAAGATTAAGAACAACCAACACGGGTGGGGATAGTCTTGTCTTTACATTAGCATTTTCTATTAACTTTCTGACATACGTTTGTACCTGCCTCAATTACTATTACCCTATTACAGGCTTAAAACTCTATGTCCTAAACCATTGGTCTGCATGACATAGAAGTGTTCATCACATAGCCTGATTCCACAACTTAAAACTTTGATTCTATCTGCAAGGATAAAAAGTCAGAGAGTGGTATCTCTTGGAGGAGCTGTACCAAGTACTCAGCAGCATGTGTAAATACCCACCAGCCAGGAGCAGGCAGAGCAATGTTACGAGTACCTTCACACCAATGAAAGGAATCCCTTCCCTTCCTCTGATGGCCAATGGGGCACACCTGAGACAGAGGCTCTGCTGCCTTCCTTATCACTTCATTCTTAACAGAACAGAAAATAAACAATCTCATTTCACAGCTAAGAAACAGAGTTTGCACCATTTATTCCAGCTGTTAGGTGGTCCAGGTAATTAATTTTGGTCCAGTTAATTAATTGCTCATGCCAGAATTAGAGAAGAGAAATTCTGCCACTATTAGCTGGTAGGGTGGATTTGCAGGTCTCTATTCCAATTCTGCCGTGTCAAGGCCAAAACATCCATCAGTCTTTAGTTTACTAAAATACTTTCTGTATCTTGCAAAAATGGCAAAAGGTGCTGTGGCTACTTTCACTTTTCATTTAATGTCGTTTGCAAAGCTTGCAAATGTGGCAGATGCCAATAAAGTTAGTGGCCTCAAAAACAATCTGATGAGAGACTCCTTTAACTGGTACAAGTATCGCCCCAGCACAAGACCCTGAGTTAGATGTGTTTCTGTGTCTTTCTCTTTCAGACTTTGCAAGAGCAGTGGGTTGGAACAGAATACATCACAGAGTCACTCAGATTTACAACTTCTCCCTTGTAAAACCCAGCATCCCTAGCACCTGACTGAATTGCATGCTGCTACAACTACACAGTGCAGACTGGACATAATGATAGCGATGGGTTCCTTCTCTTAAAATGTATTGCGTATCATATCAAACTAGTATTTTTGTCCTGATTTTATCATACATATAATTCTGCTATTCTCCATCACTATGAAATTGGAGTCAATAATCAGCTGACTGACCTGGATGAGTCTAAAGTAACATTTTCACTTCCCTGTACACTTCAATGAAGTGAAATGCCAGAAGAGGAATTTATTTTTGTTACTTTCAAAATTTAGTACAGAAGTGGCTGATATATCAGAGAATAATCTTTAAATGTAATAACAATCTTACACTAACAACTACTATGGCCATAGATAGCCTGTTTTTTTTTTTTAAATTATATTAACTTCTTCAGCAAAGATAAAAACTAATCCTCCTAGTTTCAATGAAACCTTGGAAAGCCATGACATCAAATAATATCAATAACTGCTCTGCAAATATTTCACCAAAGTTCAAACTTCTGTAATTAAGTCTTATGAAACTGAAGTCTTGTAGAACATACATTTGACACTTATAATGTTACAATATGATAAAAGCTAATCATGTTGTTGACTCTTAGCATCTTTGCTACTTTAGCAAAGTACTTTGTATATACATTTATATATGCAAATTTGCCATCCATCCTAAATGGATGGGCAGATGTGATGGTTGTGTTCACAATACTTGGCATACATACATGCTGGTAACTGGCAACACAGCTCTAAGATAAAACGAACAACCAACAAACCCACCACAAAAAATCCCTAAAAATCCAGCACTGTTATGTTACATACAGAAGTTCAGGGAAGTCCAACTGAGCTTGTTCAATATTGCCATATGCAGTGTGAATGATCACATTCCTATTTATGGATGCATTAAAAAAAGCTGTGAGTAATCAGCAAAATCTGGAGAAATGCTTTCATGCAGCCTGTTTGTGAAATGTTCATTTGATTATGTGACAAACAAATGTGTATTAGATATGCCTTTAAAAAGGAATAGGAAAATGAAAGTAGGATAAAATATTGCTTATAGTGAAGCAAAAGCTCCTATCTGCATGTGGGACATCCAGAACAAAGGATGGAATGAATAACCTAAGCTCCTTTGCAGCACCAGAAATCATTCATTTCTGTGCTGAAGCGCTGCACTCTTATGAGCAGGCTTGGGCACATGCTTAAGTGCAGGCCATGGTGAAGGCCTCTATAAATAGTGTTAATTACAGCATCCTTGAAAACTACATATGAAAAAGGATTTTTTTATTTTGCCTTCAGATCTTCACCAAACTAGCTGTATGTCTAGGCTCTAGACCAAAAATATCAACAAGACTGTATGAAGGGAATGATTTAAATCCTTCTGATTAAATTATATGAAAGAAGAATTACAGGTAAAGCTAATCTGCAGCTGCTACAATGCTTGCAAACAGTACATCCCTAAATGCTACCTCCTAAATTCAAATAAGATTATTTTATCATCTGTTGTTCAGATGTTTCATTGGTAATGTACTTTCTCTAGACTAAATTTTTTCAAGGTCAAAACCAAACTGTACTGTGCACTGCATTTCACAGGGTCACCCACAGTATCCCTTGTGTGAAAAAATGCTAGCAGAAACACACTTCTCATTCCTGGTGAAAAGTTTTTTCTTTCTACTCCAGCATATTTGCACTTTGGTATTAAAAGAAAGCAGTGTATGAGCGTTCATTCAAGCCTGCTGTCCACATTTTTAATATTAAAGACTATTAAAACATGTATATTCTGGTCAAAGGTATCGCTGGCATTTTCTGTGGATATTTCTCAGAAATGTTTCTTGTGTATTCAAAATTTATGGAACCAGGGGAGATTTCAAATAAATGACTTCATCATCTGTTTGATCATCTATCACACACATGCATCATTTATTCGTGTAGGAATAACACAGAACATTACAGCACTTCAAATCCCTAGATTTGACATAGGACACACCAGTAAAAAGTAAAGTGAATTGGGGCAGGGAGGTGGCAAACTGCATATTAAAGCAAAGTTGAAGAATAAAATATATCTAAAGCCACCAGGAGAAAGGAAAGATATTAAAAAGAACCCACTTAGAAGAGTTACAGAATCATAGAATGGTTTGGGTTGGAAGGGACATTAAAGAAGGGACACCTTTCACTAAACCAGGTTACTCAAAGCCCCATCCAACCTGGCCTTGAATACCTCCAGGGATGGGGCAGCCACAACTTCTCTGGGCAACCTGTGCCAGTGCCTCACCACCCTCATAGTAAAGAAATTCTTCCTTATATCTAATCTAAATCTCACCTCTTTCAGCTTAAAGCCATTATCACTTCTCCCGTCACTACATACCTTTGCAGAAAGTCCCTCTCCAGCATTTTAATAGGCCCCCTTTAGGTGCTGGAAGGCTGCTCTCAGGTCTCCACAGAGCCTTCTCCAACTCCCTCAGCCTGTCTTCATAGGAGAGGTGCTCCAGCCTTCTGATCATCTTTGTGGCCCTCCTCTAGACTTGCTCCAACAGCTCCACATCCTTCTTATGTTGCAGGCCCCAAAGATGAATGCAGTACTCCAGGTGGGGTTTCAC